GTGCTCCCAGCACTTGGGAGGCTGAGGCAGATGGATTTCAAGTTTGAGGCCAGCCTGGCTACATAGTAAGACCTTTCACAGCCTCGTCCCTAAATATTTATTATGGACATTTTCAAAGATAAAGTAGTGACAATGTATAATTAATTTCCTTTTACCCATCACTCAGCTTCAAAACTAGTATTTTTACCTTTTTTTTCAGTACTGGGCTTTTTTTTAATTTGTCCAGGCTGGCTGTGATCCTGCTGATCTCTGTCTCCTGAGTAGCTAGGATTACAGGTATGAGCCACCGGCAACTGGCTTGGCAGTTCTTTTTTCATCTATCCCCTGACCCACATTTTTTCCCTCTCTTCCCTTTCTTTCCTTCCCTCCTTCCTTCTTTCCTTTCTTCCTTCCTTCCTTTCTTCTTTTCTCTTCCTTTCCCTTCCTCTCTTTTTTCTTTCTTTTTGGTTTTTGGTTGGTTGATTTGTTTTTGTTTTTTTTTACTTGAGTGTTTTAAGGAGAATCTCAGCCATCATTACATTTTACCTTTAAGCCCTTCCTTATGTACCTGTAGAAGATACAGGCCTTCAGATCATCTAATAATACCCACTCTTTGTTTAGTTTTCTGTCTCAGTAATGTCTTTTTATTGTTGGTTTGTTTGAATTAGTATTCAAAATTTTCCACACATTACATTGGTTGAAATGTCTCTTAAGCCTTTTAAAATCTATAATAAACTCCCTTTTCAAAAATGCCATTTATTTATTGAAGAAATAAATGTCATTTGTCCTTATTCTGGATGTGGCATCTATGTGTCTTTTACTATTCCTTTTAACTTATTCCTCAGAGTTCTTTTAACCTGGTGGTGAGATGTGAAGGCTCAGCTTTTTTGCAAGAAACCTCCTTGTTGGGTGCTGTGTACTTCCATTGCATTCCTCTAGGGGGGCACTTTTCTTAACATCTGCTTGGACCACTTTTAGTAGTCCAAATTAATCAGTTTGGCTGTTGTTAATCAGCTTTCCATTTGAGCCACCCACCCCCCCCACCGCCCCCTGAGTTCAACCCCAAGTAAGGAGGTACAGGGGAAAGAATGGGGAAGGAGACATTTTTGAGAAGTGCAGGAGAAAAATGAGGTAGGCTTGCGGGTGGTAGGAATGATTTGGAATGCGATGTGAAATGCACACGTTTGATGTTTCCTGACGAGATTCCATTTTTTGGCAGTACTGAGGTTTGAACTCAGGACTGTGCACTTGCTAGGCATGTGCTCTACCACTTGAGCCATGCCTCGAGCCCTCTGAGAAGATTCTTAACCAAGGGAGGAGGTGGACAAAGGCAGCCATTTGTTGATGAGACTAATTTTGGTCTTTGAATTTCCAAAGAAATTAAGACTTTTTTTTGAGAACAGAGGGATTATTCCAGAACAGTCTCCGTGGCCCTCACACCTTCAGAAATAGAAAAGGTTTTAGAGATGATGGGAGTGAGGCTGTGGCCACAGGGCCATGAGGAGATGGAGCAGGGATTTCCAGAGTGCAGTAATGCTCGGGACTGTACCCAGGTGGCAGTGGGGTCATCCACAGACTGTGATGTCACCCAGGGTACTGGCAGGCCCTCCCCTGACCAGTGCACAGGAGCAGCAGCGTCTTGTAAGAGGGCTGTGGGGCTGCTTCGGGTGTCCCCAGGCTACTGGTGGTCAGGCAGGGTGGAGAACTCTAGGTAGGTTCTAGTCTCTTCTGTCCCTTTCCATTTGTATCCCTTTTTCTCAAGGGCTGAGCTCAGAGTTGTGGTTTCCATTTCCCAGGGTGCTTGTGACATAGGGGACCTATCACTGACATGTTGTGAAGACACTCAAGAGATGCACACGGAAGAGCACACCCTAATTCATCTCCACCTTCTCTTCTGCCCAGTGGTTCCCTGTACGGAGCAGACCCTTCACACATACACTTGGATCAAGTTCTCAGGAGCACACATAGCTAAAAAGAGGTGTCCAGGAGTTGGTCTTTGGGAACAACCCTCAGGGTTCACACCCAGGCTCCCTGGTGTCAGAAGCAGCCCTTGGACACTCCGCTCTGCACAGCCTCTTTCACAGGCTCCTTTCTCCACAGAATCCCTCTGTCCTTCCAGCTCTTGGGCCTTTCCTACTTCCCACCCCTGCTTGGGGACTGTCTCCACTTGGGCCTCAGACTGTGTTCTGTTCAGTCAGAACAAGCTCAGGGCTACCTGCATAAGAAACTCCTCCTTGCAAGCAGCTTTGCCCTCAGCTCCTGACCTATGAGGGCCCCTCTTCCTCCCATTGCCCTCAGAGGATCCCCGACTCCCACCCCAGCACCTGCTCCTCGCAGTCCCAAGCCCCTGTGTCTCCTCTTTGATTTACACTAGTCAGGAACTTGTCCAACAGGCAGGACCAGCAGGCAGAGTAGCTCCTGTTCACTGGCAGCCAAGGATTTTGCCAGCTCTTCTGAGCACAGAGGACAGGAGGGATTGATCAGGGCCTACCTGGGCCAACATCTAGAAACTCCCCTACTGTGGCTGTGTGACACCCAGTGGACTCACACACCAATGAGCCCATTGATGGCCAAAGCCCATCAGGGTGGAGCTACCAGTGAAATTAATACAAGCTTGAGTTTGGATAGAGCATCCATGGGGAAAAGGTGGGACAGACAGTGAGCACAACCAGATAAAACTTTCTAAGAAGGGCACATGCCAGAAGAAGAGTGATGGGTGGCATTTAATTTCTCTTCCTTTAGATGTGATTCTCTTTAAAAAAAAATGTGGCACAATACACCTAAGTGACTTAGCCTGAAGTGGACCACACAGCATTGCTAAGTGTACTCACAGTGTTGTGCAGCCAATCCCCAGAACGTTGTTTTTTGGTGGGATTGGGATTTGAACTCAGGGTCTAGTGCCTGCAAGGCAGGCACTCTACCACTTGAGCCACACCTCTAGTCCATTTTGCTCTGGTAGTTTTTGGAGACCAATCTCTCGAACTATTTGCCTGGGCTAGCCTGGAACCTCGATCCTTCTGATCTGAGCCTCCCAAATAACTAGGATTACAGGCACGAGTCACCGGTACACTGCTTCTCCAGAACTTTTCATCTTGCAAACACAGAACCTCTGCACCCATCTCTCTAATCCCCATTGCTCCCTCTCTGCAGCCCCTTGTGAGGGTCCTTTTTTTCACTGCAGCTGTTGTGACTTGAGTGTGAATTGTCCCCGTTCGTGTGCTGAAGGCTGGGTTCCCAGTGCAGCCGTGTTCAGAGGCGGGGCTTCTGAGAGGTGATTGGATAATGAGGGCTCTGACATCACGGACGGATTAATCCCGTCACAGATTCACAACATGGATGGCTGTTGGAAAGTAGGTGGGGCCCAGTGGGTCACTGGGGAGGGAGGAAGATGTGCTTTGGAAAAGATGTATCTGTCTCCAGCCTCACTCTTTGTCTATCTGTCTGTCTGTCTCTCTACTTCCTGGCTACCATGAGGTGAGCAGCTATCTTCTGCAATGCCCTTCTTTTCATATAATTACTTATACAGAGGGTTTCATTGTGATATTTCCATATATGCATATAATGTACTTTGATCAAATTCATACTCTATCACTCTCTTATCCCCTCCCCCAGTATTCGACTTGCACACATATGTAGGAGATATTTTACCACATTCCCCCACCATGCCTTTCTGCCATATGTAATGTAACGTTTGCCTCACAACAGCGCAGAAACAATGGGGCCAGATGGCCATGGACTGAAACCTCTGAAGCTGAGCCAAGATAACTCCTTCCTCCTGCTTTCTCGGTCTCATCACAGCACACCATCTCCTTCACTTGCCAGACAGGCAGACCCCAGACAACGGACCCCGGGTCACCTGGCAGATCCCAGCCATGGACACCAGGTTTCTCAGGAAGACAGGACCCAGAGACTTGCAGCAGAACAAGTTTAATCCATTGAGTCCCATTCAGGGGTTCAGGATAGGACAGAATTTCATGGAAATATTTATCCCTGTCCCCAGGATAGGACAGAATTTCATGGAAATATTTATCCCTGTCCCTTCGTCATCTCACTGAGGCAAGCAGAACTGTACCTACAGGGTCACTTCTGGCCTTTATTTGGATCATGGTTCTTCTTCCAGAGATCCTGGGACCAACCAGATCCAATGCTTACCTGGGGTCCCCAGGCCATCCTGCCTGTAGGAGATGGGAGCAGCCGGCAAGAGGAGCGCTCTGCTCACACGCCAGACCCATCTGTTCCAGGACAAGCAAAGGCCCTTCCCTGCATAGCTTGGGGGGTGGGGAGTGAGGGATGGGGGGGGGCAGGCACTGAAGGGCAGGAAGGAAGCAGGTGAGAGTGGTGAGGATGTGGAGAGTAATTTCTGCCTGCTAATCTGAGGGCACCGGTTGCTTTTATTATAAGCAGTGACTAACACAGAGAAAACCATGGCTTGTGACAAAGTGTGACACTGTGGAGCATCAGCACGCCTTTCATTTTCCTACAAGAAGCCACAGCCTAGGAAGGTGGGGTGACTGATGCCACAAGGAAAGGTGGTGGCAGAGGGCTGAGATTAGAATCAGGTTGGAGGGCTGGGATGTAGCTCGGTGGTACAGCGCTTGCCTAGCATGCGTGAGGCCCTGGGTTCGATCCCAGCACCAAAAAAGAAAAAAAAAGAATCAGGTTGGATCCCTGGGCACCTCTGCTACCTGGCGGTTCCACCAGTCACAGATCCCAGAGCAGAATGGGGACCAGGAAGAGTCCAGGTGAAGGGAAAGTCTCAGGTGCAGGACAAGAGCTGGACAAGGGACAGAATGGCCAGAATCTGCAGAAGCTCACTGGGCTAGGGCCCTGGGGAAACATGTGAAATTTGGGTGGGGGGAGTCCCCAAAGGGAGAATTGTCAAGCTCCAGCCATCTGTGATGGTTTTGCAGGGAAGGATTTAGCTGATGGACTGAGGTCTGGGAGGACATGACGCATATTGGCATGATGCAATATTGGTCCTCAACAATCAAGGACTAATCCCCTTTCTCTTCCTGTTTCCCTCAAATCTCAAATCTGTGGGCAGAGGAAAGAGTCACTGGTGTGCTGGCGAGAGTTTCTAGGCTGAATCTGGGACAGAGGAAGGCAGGTATGACCCCCCCAGCTGGCATGAGATCCTCTGGCCCTGGTGGTGAAGCTGCTTCCAGGTTCCACTCAGAAGGGTCTGTCTGTTGCTGCCACTCTGTATCTCCATTCTCAGCCAGGGTCTGGGCCCTGCTGCCCTGGGAGGCCAAGTCACACAGGGTGCTGCCTATGGTCAGCCTGCTGAGGCTATAGGAGCTGTGGCGGGACCGGTGACGGGGGCGCTGGGTCCCAAGGCCCAGGGCTTTCCGGAAGTTCTCCCGGAAGCGGCTGGACATGAGGCTGTAGAGCACCGGGTTGGCAGCCGAGCTGAGGTAGAAGAAGACACCAGAGACAACGTGTACGTACTGGAATGCCAGGAGCAGGCCCTCTGTCCAGCGAGACACAAAGCTCCACATGAGGCGGTCAATGTGGAATGGGGCCCAACAGATTCCAAACACCACGACCAGCACAACTGCAGGGACAGAGAGGGAGGCGTGAGTGGCAGCCAGAGCCTTTCAGCTGCCTTTCCTGGGCTTCAGTTTGGTTCAACCATTCTCACCTCCACCTATCCCACAGGCCACCCAAGCTTAGCAGCCATCCAGAAGTTTCTGGGAATTTGCCTGTCCTGGCCACAGTTTCTTCAGAGATGCTTTCACTTGTATCTCTGACTGGGCAGTGGGCCATGTGCCCTGCTCCTGGCCACAATATTAACCAGGTGTGGACATCTGAGCCCAGCTGGCCCAGTCAGATACCCCTCCCCACTTATGGAATTTGGAACTGGAACACTCTTAGCTGTGGCTGCCAACTACTAACATGACAGACTGTGAGACTGAGGTCCACTCTGGATGCCCACTTGGGGCAATCACTACTGATAAATAAGGACAGAGAAGTTGGAGGACAGGATGGGTGCTCAGAGAGCCCCAAATAGCAGTCACAAGGCCAGTCTCACACACACACACACACACACACACACACACACACACACACCACTGTGCCTACCCCCAGCTCTCAGGACCCAACTGCCTTAACCACCACCCTTTTGCTTAAGAGGCTCTGCCTGCCTCATCCCTGTCCCCTCTCCAGCAAAATGCAGGACAGACTGGTCAAGCCCTCACTCTTTCCTTAATTCCTTCCTTCCCTGGTCTTAACCCAACATGCCCTTCTTAGGGTCTCTGCCCCGGGCCTGCATTGATTGCAGTCGTTTCTCACGTTTGCTTCTCCAGACCCTATCTTCTGCCTGTGGCGTGTTGCCCGTGGTACCCAAGCACCATTTTCCTCATCCCAGATACAATGTTATAAACAACATTCCCAGCAGGAAGTAAATGGATGGAAGGAAGGGAAGGAGGAAAAAAGGCCAGTTGGTCCCAGGCCAGCAAGCAAGAAGCCCACCTTCCCAGTGGTGGGAGGGTCCCAGCTGAACTGGCTGTAGGCTCCTCCTATGTCTGGGGGAGTGGCAAGAGTAGGAGGCAGGCTGGTGGGAAGGGGACAGTGGCCTGTAGTGCAGGCTTCACCTTGCAGAGCTGGAGCAGAGGGCTTGGGCCAGTCCTGTCTCAAGGGGCTACACAAGCGACTCCAGGCTCTGGGATGCACATCCTGAAGGGAAAGAAGAGATGGGACTTGCTCTGGGGATGGGGCTGTCCAGTTGGCTGGGTCTGAGCAGGGTTGGTGGCCCTGTCCTGCCCTGGTTCACTTCTGCCTCCATCTGATTCAGGTTCTACTGGCAATGGTAGGGTTGCTGAGCTGGGTGAGTGGGACTGGGGAGGTAAATCAGTGTCCATAGGACTTGGTTCCCCAGGTCCATAGCTTTTGAAAAATAGCCAACTCTTGGCTACAATAAGACTCCAAAGCCTCAGCGCAGGAGAGGCTGCTCTGCCTGCCCCACCCTCACTTGTGTCCTGACTCCTCACAAACATGGTCCCAAGATCTGAGTCCTCCTTCCTACCTTTCTCAGACCTACATCCACCATCTGCTTAAATTTCAAGCCTGGTGACAGTTCATAGTGAACAACAGCAGCCACAATGACAAAAGCACGGAACACTTATCCTAACGGTGCTACCACCTTTACTTATTTTGGTGGGACTGGGGCTTGAACTCAGGCACTCTACCACTTGAGCCATGCCCATGGCCCTTTTTGCTTTAGTTATTTTTCAGATAGGCTCTCATCCCCAGGCTGGCCTCAGACCTCAATCCTCCTACATATGCTTCCTGAATAGCTGGGATTATAGACGTGAACCACCATGCACAATTGCCTCTTATAGACAGTCTCTCCCAAGGCTCCAAGAGAAAGCACACAGACACATCATGAAAGAAATGCATCCCGTGGCCACTTCAGCACCCTCCTACCCCTCTTTGGGGGACCTGGTTCCCCAGGTACCACCATGTGCTTCTATCCTAAGCATCCCGCTACCCTGACCTGGGGGTGTGGGCTGAAAACTAAGCCACACCAATCAGAACTCTTCCCTGGGACCCTCCAACACCCACGAAGGAAAGAGGAGAGGGGACTATGGGGTGGCCTTGCCTTGCAAGCTACTGTGGAGAACAGAGCCAAGACATTCAGGAGCAAAGATGAGAGTCCTGGAGGGTCCCAATCCTTGTTTCTGTCATCCTGGAGCCCAGTCGCAAACTGTGCCCTTTCTGTGCGCCAGGGCTAGTGTTGTGGGTGTGCAAACTGCACACTTGACAGTTCCAAGCTTAGAAGGGCAGTAGGCTTGGTTTAATGTTCTACTGTTACTGTCTTGACTTGCTTAGTAATTTTTGAACAAGAGACCCTGAATTTCCATTTTGCACTGTCCAAATTATGAGTTGACACTACTGTGAGTCATCATTTATCTTTGGTGTAAGCTTCTAGCAGATTAATCTGAGTCCACCAACATGGGGGTTGGATGCACTCACACACTCATGGGGGCAGGAGAGGTGCTCCAAACCACACAGCCTCCAGAAAATCAGACTCTCAGTTCCCTCCCCAGCGCCTGGCTCTACCCCCTCCCCAAGAACATCACTTACACAGCATCTTAGTCACCTGTCTCCTGCCCCTATCTGGCAGCTGGGTCCCGTGGGTGTCACTGGCCCTGCCCGCTACAGTGCTCCTGTCACTGGCTTCCTGTTGGAGCAGCAGCAACCTCTCTTGCCGCAGCCGCAGCCCGATGAACAGGTATAGCACGCTGATGGTGGCCATGGGTAAGCAGAAGAAGAGCAGCGTGGTGATCTGCACCACCAGGTTGTACAGGTGCCGGGGGCGAACCAGCGTGCACACCGCTGAGTCTGGCACCAGGCCCCGGCAGGGTACGTACAGCTGCTGGAGGCCATGCAGGCTGGTATTGGGCAGAGAGCAGAGCACGGAGAGGCCCCAGACAGCCCCTAGCACCCGGCGCACATGGGCCCGAGTCACCAGGGACCTGGCCTTCAGCGGGTGCACCACGGCCACATAGCGCTCCACACTCAGGGCGGTGACGTTGAGCACTGAGGCCAGGCAGACCGTCTCAAAGAGCAGCGTGCGGAAGTAGCAGCCACCGAGGCCCAGCAGGAAGGGGTAATTGTGCCACATCTCATAGAGCTCCAGGGGCAGGCCCACCAGCAGCACCAGCAGGTCCGACACAGCCAGACTGAAGAGGTAGAAGTTGGTGGGTGTACGCATGGGTTTGTGGCGCAGGATGACCAGACACGTCAGCCCATTGCCCACCATGCCCACCACGAAGATCAGCAGGTACGTGGCAGAGATGGGCCCAAACAGCTCTGTCTGCTGCGGCCCCAAGTACTTGAGCCTCAGTGCCTCGTCAGTCAGGTTCAAGTCCTCGGGGTCAAAGTGTCCCTTGTCCTCACTGCTATTGCAAAACATGGGGCTTCTTGCACCCACTGGAGGCAGGTCTCCAAGGAGGATGGAGCAGTTGAAGCAGAGAGGAGTCTGTGGAAGAGAGAGGAGAGATGCCCAGAAAAGTCATTAGGGAATCCTGGCTCTGTGCTAACTCATCAGAGCCCAGGCACCGTCACTAGGATGGTCATATTTCACATACTTGCCGTCTATTGTAAGGTATGTTACAATTTCAGATGTAAATTGCATCTTAAAAATGATAAAATGGGAGCCTTCGATTTAAATTTTCAGTCTATTCAAACCTTTGAATAAATGGTGGATAGTCTCAAGCATAGACTTTCCCATTCGTGTGTCCCCTGGGACTCTCACTTCAAGGCATGGACTTCATTCAGGAGAGGCCCTCAGTTATAGACATCTGTAAAGTGGGCACAGCTCCCAATACTCCCACTGTCTTTAAGAGCAAGGGCTCTGAAAGCAACTGTCTGGGTTCAAACCCAATCTCTCCAATTCCAGGCTGAGTGACCTTAAGGAAGGTGACCTCTCTGCAGCTGCTTAACAGGAGGATCCATGGAAAGTACTGACCCAGCCTGACATACGGAAGGGCATGTCAAAGTCACTGTGAAAGAGTGAAAAGCCTAAAAACGGCATGCATGGTCCAAAAGTTGGTGCTTGTTTCTATTTTCTGCCACCTGGTCTAAATATTTGTTTGAGCCAAGTTAGGGAAACAGCCAAGATGCCCCACTACTGACAAATGGATTAAGAAAATGTGGTATCTATACACAATGGAATTTTATGCAGCCATGAAGAAGAACGAAATGTTAGCATTCGTAGGCAAATGGATGGAATTGGAGAACATCATTCTGAGTGAGGTTAGCCTGGCCCAAAAGACCAAAAATCGTATGTTCTCCCTCATATGCAGACATTAGATCAAGGGCAAACACAACAAGGGGACTGGACTTTGAGCACATGATAAAATCGAGAGCACACAAGGAAGGGGTGAGGATAGGTAAGACACCTAAAAACTTAGCTAGCATTTGTTGCCCTTAATGCAGAGAAACTAAAGCAGATACCTTAAAAGCAACTGAGGCCAATAGGAAAAGGGGACCAGGAATTAGAGAAAAGGTTAGATCAAAAAGAATTAACCTAGAAGGTAACACCCACGCACAGGAAATCAATGTGAGTCAATGCCCTGTATAGCTATCCTTATCTCAACCAGCAAAAACCCTTGTTCCTTCCTATTATTGCTTATATTCTCTCTTCAACAAAATTAGAGATAAGGGCAAAATAGTTTCTGCCGGGTATTGAGGGGCTGGGGGGGAGAGGGAAGGGGCGGAGTGGGTGGTAAGGGAGGGGGTGGGGGCAGGGGGGAGAAATGACCCAAGCCTTGTGTGCACATATGAATGATAAAAAAAATAATAAAGTACATCAGGAAAAAAAATAAATAAATATTTGTTTGACACCCTTACTATTGCCACCCAGGGCTTCCCCACCTTTGTTCGACCTCCAGCACCACGGAGCGCGCAGCCGGCCTGGGTTCGAGTCGCCCCAACCCTCCAGGAAGGGCCGCCGGCCGGAGTCCGCGGTCCCGCCGCGCCCGTGGCGGGAAAAGGGCAGAAATGACCCGAGAAGCTGCGAGGCCCCGGGGGGGTGCCCCGGGGGGCCTTGTGTCCCCTCTCTCCCTGGGACGCCCCTGTCCGCGCCGGTCCGGCCGCCGCACGCTTGCCCACGCCGGCCTCGGGCTCACCTACCATGCGGTCTGCTGCCCGTGAGGTCCCCACGGCGTCCCCGCGCCGACAGACACCGAGCCCCAGGCAGCAACTTGCCGACGATCGCGACCGCCCACCCCATCGCCCCGCCTGTCGCGGGTCCGGGACGCCGGCAGGGGGCAGTGCGGCCCCCGCAGCCCGCGAGACCCAGGACGCACCCCACCCGAGCCGCAGCGGCTGTTTGACCCGGAGCCTCACAGGGACCCATTTTACAGATGAGAACAGAGCCTCCTGATCTTACATGCTGTCCCCAAGCTGGCTTCAGCACAACCCCTTGTCACTGAGTCCCCTCTGATCCCCATCTCCTGCTCCAGGTTTCAGACACACCTCCAAAGACCCCCAGCAGCCCCTTGAAGTCAGTGTACCCCAAAAAGGCTGGCTCCACCTTCCCCTTCTCTCTCAGCCCCAGAATTGCAACCAGCCGGCTTCCAGTCCTGCAGTCCAGGTCCTGGTCCCCTCCCAGGACTGGCAGGAGCCTCCATTTTCCCTCCAACCCCTCCTCTCACAGGGCAGTTCTTCCTTAGCCTCTTCGGGAAGCCACTTCTTCACCTCCATCTCCCTCCTGTTCCTTCAGCATCAAAGCCCCTCAGCCTATCCATTCTAACTGTCCCTTCCCTGCCCCCAGCAGGAGGGGGTGTGGGCAGAAATGGAGGGAACCTGGGAAAGAGCCAAGAATGCCCCCACAGCTTCCTCCTGCCCCCTAAACTGGGCACATGTGAACTCCAGCAGGGGCTGTGTCAATCCCCAAGGCATCCTGTGATCAGCTCCCTATTTGGAAGTGATTTCATGAGAGGCCACAGGGTGCTGGAAGAAGGATGGATGGCCAGGCCCAGGCTGAAATGCTGGCTCCCGGCCTCTGCCCACCTCTGATGCACTTTGTCTGGGCTTGGTCCAGAAATCTCCTCCTGCAGTGAACGCCCTCCAGAATCACGCTCTCTTGAGCTCTGGGAGAGGTCAAGGACAAAGCCTCAGGACCCAGAGAGGCTGCTTGGAGCTGCGTTCCTCAGTTGTCCTCCCTGTAGAATGGCTGACCACTGTTATCACTATGGCGAGTGTGGCATGACATCCAGTGTACTGATGTAGGACAGGGTGCACCCCAGAAATGAGTGGCATTGTCACCGTTTCATGGCAACTTGAGGTGCCTCCTTCCCCCAGGCTTCTCTGGCCCCCAGCCATGAGTCACGAGCTTGGGAACAGGGAGTTAGACTCAAAGAGTTCCCAAGAACTCCACATGTAAACACAGCCCCAGCACGGAGAGGGAAGCCCAGCGGAGCATGGTCCCCAGGGCCCTGGGTTTCTGGGGTGCCCTGAGAGTTAACTACTCGACCCCAGAAGAAGTTACCGACCCCAGTCTAACCTTCAAGAGTGGGGCTGCTACCATGACAGATGAGGGACAAAGGACAGCATCACTCAGAACCAGTGCGCTGTGGCATCTCAGTGTGAGACTGTCCTGTCACTGGAACACATGTACACACACACACACCACACACCACTGCATGCACATCAGTTGTGTAAGTGAGTGCCAACTGATGCCACTCAGTTGGTGCCCACTCTGCACCTTTGGGGGTGTTCAGAAAGGAGGAGAAGGTGTGACAGAGCCGATGGCCCCATCAGTTCAGAAGTCGTACAGCTGTCTGTGTCTGTCATTCATACAGCATCAACAATGACCAAAGACTATGCAGGCTAAAGAACAACCCCTCAAAAGGAGAGGGCCAGTGGCTATCATGGCTGTAGTTTGCACCCCTCACTCATCCAGAGGACCCTAGGTGTCATGCTCTGGGCTTGAGCTCAGAGACTACCACTGCAGGGTGTCCCATCAGAACCAGTGACGTGTGTGACCTCCCTGCTCATCTCAGGTGGTTTGCCACGGGTTCTCTGGGCAAATGCACCCATCTCCTGAGCTTGGCCTCAGCCCAGTCCAGGGTGTCACATTCCCCACTGTGCATGACAGCACACGTACTGAGGGAGAGTGACCAAGTCCCCTGGGAGCCACTGTGACACCTGCAGGTCCTGGGGCATGGGCAGGGCTCCTGGGGATGAGGTGTACATATAGCTCAAAAGCCCTTTCCAGCCTGAGACCTTCTGAAACCCACAGGGACAGCTGCCCCAGGTCAGGTCCAAACCAAAACCTCTTCCTAAGCCTGAGGGCTCACCAGGATCTCTGGTACACCTGAAACCGCATACTCCCTGTCTACATAGATGAGAAGGAAGAGAAGATGAGCTTGGGGACACTGAAGCACTGGACAGGAGGAAAGGACTGCTCTGCAGTCTGGGACTTGGGGACAACCCAGGAGCCCCCATCACTGGGCAGACACAGCTAGAAGCAATGACTGTCGATCGGAGCAGGGCTTGACCAGTCCCTTCCCTCATCAGCCCTCCTCCTGGCTCTGCTCAGCTGGACCTGGGCCAGGCTGTGGCTGGGAGAGAGCGCAGGAGGGTCTGAGCCATCAGGTGGTGGGGTCCCCAACTTGGGGGCAGGATTGCACTTGAGTGAGCCTCATGGCTGCTACATGGACATCACAATCCGTGTTTTCCCTGGGCCTGGCTCTGCTCAGACAGACATCCACTGCAAAGAAAAGAGCTGGCAGGGAAGGGAAGGCAGAAATTGGGGTCTGTGAGGCCTGGGGGTTGCGGGGGAGGTCGCCCTCTGCCACTGAGCTGGCTGTGTGGCTTTAGGCAAGTCTCTTCACACTCCAGACCCAATTTCCTCATCAATAAAACAGCAAAACTTAGCCTGGTGTCTGTCAGGGATGCATGACAACCACTGGAGACAATGTGGTTTAAAGCACTTACAGGGCTGACACACCCAAGAACTGGTGGCCTGCTCAGAATTCTCCTGAAGATACCTGAAGCCTGCCGGGAGTCAGGGCTCCCCAGGAGCTGCACTTAGCAGGGCTCAGAGAATGAAGACCCCAGCCTGGGCCAGAAAAGCTGAGCCCAAGGGGAAGAAAAGAAAGAGCAGGACTTTTGTGGACACATCTGGCCTAGTTCCCTTTCTGAAGCCCACGCTGCCTTTCCCTTATTGGGTGATGTTTGCTGGAATATTCTCCAAGAGATGCCCTGCCTGGGTACTATTCCTGACTCACCCAAAACAGTGTAACCTTCCATGGGCTAGCCTGGCACCTTCCATGCACTAGCTTGCCATCCTCTGGCCCAGGAGCAGCTACTCTGGGGGCACAAGCTAGAGCCACTGAGGGCCTTTCCAGGAAGCTGAGTTCCATGATTTGCTTAGGTACGTTTACATTTTTTTTTTTTTTTGAGAGAGAGAGAGAGAGG